TAACAGGGAGTAAGAGAAATCAGCCCCCAATGTCATCCTGTATTTCTCAATAGCTTCCTTCAGTTTTGACAAAGCTCTGACATTCCTAAAGAAATTGCAATATCTAGAAATTATTTAGCTTTCCAGTTGGAGGAAATGACCTTGGGAGGCAATGAGACACAACCAAGGTGACCATCAGATAAAGGCACCTTGCAGCAGAAATCTAGGTGGGGCAAGGAGCTAAAAAGAGACTCCTCCTAATTTAAGGGTTATAAAGGGAACACACAGACTGGGGAGATGGGGAAAGTATTTTCAAGTTGTAAGATTCTGTTAATGTAACTTATAATAAAATAGAATCAGCTCATTTGGTCTGGTCTATTTCATTAGGTAAACAACACCTTTTGCAGATTTTCAATATTTACTATCCAAGTCAGACCAAGTCCAACTTTATCACTGACAAAGCTAATAAATGCTTTCAAATAGTTCCTGCTGGGTCCCTTCCTTGGGAATTCAAATCAAATGATCTGAATTGTCCCAGCCAAGAGATATTGGCCAGATGGGAGTCCACTAATATAATAGAATAAGAATCCTTATCTAATCTAAGGATTCAATTGGACAGCTGAAAATAATGAAAATTCTGATGGAAAGCTAATGAATAAATGATTTTGTTTAAACAGACAAATGAGAAAGAATAGGTGTTACTTATAATTCGGATTGCTTCTTCCTTCTGTTTGATCCTTTGTTTTTATTCAGCTCAGACACTTACCCATACTGGCTCACTGATTGTTATTGCCACTGCAATCTGTTGTGGTTTTTAAAGCATTTTAAGAAGCCAAGTATATTGGTTTCTTATAACTGCCCAAGATTAACCAAGCAATATGCTTTTCTATAATAGAATGAGAAGCAAAAATTAAGTTTGCATATTTTTAGACAGATGAAATGAATGAACATCAAATAAAAACAACTGTAATTCTGAGGTCTCCAAGAGCTTTTTTAAAAACAAAAATAGTCCAATTTATTATTTAAGATTAATATTGTTATATATGAGAATTTAAAATACTTTACATTTTAATCTCTTAGCTGGACACACACACATATAATTTGTGGGACATCAAGATTATAACTTTTTCTGCTTCTATTGACCATATCCTCTCCCCCACCCCGTGTGTGTGTGTGTGTGTGTGTGTGTATGTATGTATGTATGTATGTACGTGTGTGTGTGTGTGTGTGTGTGTGTATATATATATATATCTCCATTCTAATTCATATGAAACTAATTCCCAACAAGGAGGAATCTATTTAGCATCCTCTTTTGCCAGCTGTTGCCATTAAAGGAAGAGCCATATATTGGCTGGCTTTGATGTCTGTATATGTGTGGTGCTTTTCTTTTTTCTTTTTATTTGGAAGCCCTGAAACACCGCTGCTGTTCAATTCTTTGTGATTTGGGGCTTTGTTTATGGCAAGGATATACTGTTTGAGCTGTAAATTTCATTGTGTTTTCTATCATGCATTAAATTTAGAATCAGTCTGTGATTTTAAGGTTTCATGGCACACTTGAGGAAATCTGATTGGTTTTTTTGATGTAAAATTATTTGAGTATCACTTGCTGTACCAATTGGAATTTGCATTTTGCAATTTTAACTTCTACAGGGGATTTTGAAGATAAAAATGTGTTGTCTGAGAAAATTCCAGAATATTTACTTAAATCTGCTTTTATAGATATTTTATTTAGTATTTTCTTTAAAAAAAACATATATGAAAAAATGTGAAATTATATGCCAACTTTATGGTTGGTATTATAGAGCTGTATGCACTATTTCTCTTAGTCAGGTAAGAATTTTCCTTTCAGTTGAAGGCTTTTGTTTCTTGTTCTAAAAATAAAATTAATAAAACTGTGTTCTCATTGATGTAGAAATAATACAATGGTTAGTTGACATTAGCGATTGAACTTCTTATGTATAAAGTATAACCTTCTATTTGAAATAATGTTGTACAAGAAATAATATTTTTACTGGAGTTATATTTTACTGCTGTTTGTAATCCAGGGAGAACATGGGAGGGACATCACCAATATAAGACCAAAGTAATAACATCAATCTTTTTCTGGAATGTAGGTGGGTCTAAATGTCATTATGGCTTTGTGCACTTTTTTCAACACTTAGATATAATAACTGAGATTTATTCTTTCCTTGCACTCCTGAGATAAACATAATGTTCAGTGGATCAATTTGTACACCAAATTTCATGTACTACACTATATGTGGCTTGATCATATCAGAAAGCCTCATTCAAACCATTAATTGAAAACAGTCATCTGACATTTTTCCACTTCTAGGTCCAGGTTTCATAAACATTGCCAGGCTCATCTTACCCTTCTACCTTATTTCCATTTTGCTAGGGCTAATTCGGTTGGGTAGAGCTTTAAGCAGATGCTCTGCTATGCTTCTGATGGAATAGCAAAAAGATATTGGAAACTCTGCTACAATCTTTTGGCAGAGACCTGATAAGAAATTGAAATTTGTTTATAGCATTATATTAGATGACTATGAACAGCTAAATTGAAGGAACTCACTGTATAATTGTATAGATGCTTGACAATGCATCTCAGTAGTTTTAGGGTCTGGACTTTTGAGTGACTTCCATACAGTTTAGTCATCTTGATTTGGAGGTGTAAAATTTAGCCATGAGTCTTAATTAAGCCATCCAATAAACTAATAGAAAATTCTTTCTCGGATAGCTTTTCCACCTACATAAAGGATGTATGGGCATGGTTATAGAATCCCAGTTTGTCCAAGTACAAAAAATTTCTTACATGATTTGGGGCTGGAAAATATTCCAAGTAGCAATGCCCAATAAGCTGACTGCTTTTTGTGGAAGAGAAAGTTGCTTAATGTGATGGACAATATGAAAGGATTAGGAGTGGTTAAGGATAACTTTAGATGATGCGACAGGACTAATCACCCAGCTGGAGGTAAATGTCTCTTTTCTAGTGGAAAAAAAAGACCAGAAATGGAGAATCTGATTTCCTTCTGTTTCTCCTCATAGCAGGGTGAGGGAGGGGTAAAATATAAGAGGCACTCTTTTACACTAGGCAGTACATTTCATTTCTAGTTTCTCTCTCTTGCCTATCCAGATTTCTCAGTTTCTGCAGCCAATATGAACTGAGTATTACATTTGAATTTCTGTGAGTTGTGTCAAAGATAAGGATGGCCAGCAATTATATCAAAAGGGGAGGGGATAAATGTTGGAGCAATGATGATTTACGATACCAGATTCATATAAATATAATTAGCTGTCAGGGGTCCGACAATGCCCTAACAAAATTAAGAGTCTCAAGCCATCTAGCAATAAAAATCTATTTGTTTATTAGGAGCACCATGTCGGCACTACCTAAGTGAACCCGGCTCTGACTTCCCTCACTTCGTGCCTTGCCTCTGGCCCTTTTTCCCCCTTCCCCCAAAGTGTGTCACCAGTCATATTGCCAAACGAAGCAATTTCACGGGTTGTAGAAGTCATTCCATCCAGCGGTTGTGGGTCTCCATGGAGATGGCCTTGAGTTCAGCTGGCAGGCTGTTTTTAGTTTTGACTGAGGAGTAAATTCCTTGGTGCAGCTGCGAGGCGTGATTTCCTATCCCCCTGCCTATGGCAATTCGGGAGGAAATATTCGCTGATTGACACTTGCACTATAATCTGGTTTGCACATTGTTGATAGTTAGAAGGATTAACTTTAGCAAACTTCATGTCATGTGGAGTTTCCAGATTCTTCTCCCACTTAAGAGGAGTATATGAAACCAGGACTTCCTATGGATCAGTTTTGTTACTTCAAACTATGATGTGGCATATGATTCAGACAAAAATCTTTAAGCCACTCTCCTTAAACTAAAATCCAACATAAATTCTGAAGCATTCATGTTATGAATATTACACTTATAAACCACAATTTTAAATCACCCAAAGATACTATCTCATTCAATCTATGAATGCAGTTTTTTTTCCCTATCTTCATCCACTAAATATGTTTGCCATATGGCTAGTAGTAGCTGGGAATTATTATTATTAATTTAATGCAGTATATTGATATGCTCCTCTTGAAGCTGTAAGCAGAAGAAAAAACATAGTATTTAAAATAATATTGAATAATAAAGCTGTATCCTATTAATGAAAATGGAGAATTATTCTTTAAAAATATATGCCAGAAAGGCATGAGTGAAGAATGGAGTCTTCAGCAGGTATCTAAAATATGTTTGGGTAGCTGCCTCTCAAATTTGGGATGTAAGAGAGAGCTTACAACAGTAGTGTCAAAACTCAAGGCCCACAGGCCGGATTTGGCCTGCAGGGTGCTTAGATCTGGCCTGCAGGCCATCCTGGAAACAATGAGGGATCAGCCCACTGTACCACTGGCAGCTAAACTGGGCTCCCAAGCTCCGTTTCTGGCTGCAAAGGCTTCCTGCAACCCTCTGCCAGCTCACGCTTGGGCCACCACAGGCACCCTTGACATGAGTGACATTGATCAGGCCACACCCACCCATGGCCCCCTGAGGTCAAACACAACCCTGATGCAGCTCTCAATGAAATCGAATTTGACACTCCTGGCTTATGAGAACATAGTTGCCTCTATGAGCAGAAAACAGATGGTATTCAACAGTATTTTGTAGATATAACAGAATTGTTCCAACATATCTGAAGGGCATTAAACTGGAGAAGACACTTAACTCTTACTGTTTAAGATATAATGATAATAATGAGAGTACTGTGTTGATCTTGTGGGAAATTTTGGATTCCTTCTTTCAAGATGCATTTGTTTGTTGACCTTCTTATGCTTGTATCACTTCCAAAGAAAGTTCTTGTATTCAAAGCCAGTCAGGTTTCTTTTCACAGTGGGTTTTCTTGAACTAAGGTTGATTAATATATTTTAAACTTGCCATTTCCTTTGCATTTAAAATATATACATGTTAATCAGTTTCTTTTCTTCCCCCTCTCTTCTCTGTTATGTCCTGTTGTGTTTCTTCACGGAACTGAAGGAGCCAACCAAAGGTAAAAGATTTTTATAATACTGTGCAGCACTGGGTGGTGAATCATGTTCAATTCTTTGCCAAAATATTTTCTACTTTCTTTTCAGATGGATTCACTGCTATTGTAAGAGGAAGGGGAAAACATTTGAAACTGTTTTTCCTTTTCTCTCTCTCTCCTTCTCCTTCCCCCCCCCCCGCTTTTAAAACAACCCACATAGTACATTGACAGCCAAGTCATGAGTCAGAAGAACAAGTTGGAAAACAGTAGCACATACTAAGGATGGAGGGTTATTGCAGAGGTTGACAGGGTTAACTACCGGTTTGGGATTTACGAAGTTTGGTGATTTATGATGTGCTTCCCTGCACGCTGTGAGCCTCACGCCTGTAAATCGTCATAAGCACGCTGCGTGCAGAGAAGCAGCCTTTGAAACAGCCCCCTTTTCCTGCTTTTTTAACTGCAGCTGTGCCTCGTTCGGCAGCTGAAGTTGGAAAATCAGGAAATAAAGATCAGGTAAGAGCCTGGATGGGCGGGTGGGCAAAAACATCAGCAGACATAGAACCGGTTCTATGTCTGCTGCTCTTTAGAGCTATCGGTTCTAAAGAGGTGGACAGAACCGGTAGAAACCCACCCCTGGGTTATTGGTAAAAGTGTGCTAGGGTTTTTTTGTATTTTGGTTTTAGAGTCATTTTCTCATCTTTCTTGCATAGACTCAGATTGCAATTATTTCCCAGTAGTTTATTTTTATTCTGCAATTGAAGAATAGCAATAGCACTTATATACCACTTCACAGTGCTTTTATAGCCCTCTCTAAGTGGTTTTACAGAGTCAACCTCTTGCCCCCAACAATCTGCAACCTCATTTTACCCACCTCGAAAGGATAGAAGGCTGAATCAACCTTGAGCCTGATGAGATTCAATCTGCCAAATTGCAGGCAGACGGCAGTCAGCAGAAGTAGGCTGCAGTACTGCATTCTAACCACTGCGCCTTAAATATGTTTATGTTCATAATGCATTTCTTGTTTATATCTCTGCAGGTGTTTGCCTATGATCACTGCTTCTGGTCTATGGATGAAACTAACAAAGAAAAATATGCAGGTATCATTGTAATGATGAAAACTCTGGTGGAAGGAAAATTGGCATGGCTCTAGTAATCATTTGTCAAAGGAATTAGAAGATTTAAAGGTCATCTCCAGAACTTAAGAGAGCTTCCTCATTGCCAAGGCATTTCTAGAAGAAGAAAATAAATAATTTTTAGGACCAGCATCAGATCTCCTTCCCTTCCCCAAAAGACCCTCAATCCTATTTCTGAAGAGCTGTCATTGTGAATTCCCTCTATTATAAAGCAAAGCAGTTAGAAGACACCAAGTTACTTTTGCATTATTATCATACAAAGGATTTTTTGCATTGTTATCATACAAAAGAGAACAAAAGCAAGGAACAATCCAAACAAAACAGAAGAAGATATAATCTTTATATATCCACATCCTGGACCTTGCAAAGGACAGATTGGGATCAGATGTTACTGTTAGATTTAGACAGCATGTTAAACCCTAAATTCAAATTAACAAAGCGCAGTTGTTGCATGTTAGTAATATCTTTTGCCTAAAAATATATTATGGTTTAACATCATGATCTGTTCCCATAAGATTCTGAATTTCAAATTATTCAGTCTCATTTTAGCTTAATCCTGTGGACTGACATTGAATAAATTAATCACAAAGGCTCAAAAGCAGGGATAGGATGGGTTCAGATGCCTGTTTAATTAATAGAGGTAATCAATTTCTTATCCAAATGAATTGCACAAAATGGTTGTGAATATAAACCGAGTAACCCCTATACATAAGGTTCTTGGGGGAGGAGCTGGGGAGGGGGTTGGCCTTGAATTCAAATAGCAACAAAAATAATGGCTCTGGTTTCCTTGAGGTCAGAGGGGTTTTTTTCCCAACAGATATGCTTTAGTAGGATTCATCCGGTACTGGTTAAACACAGAGCAATTCCAAAGGAAGTTACTGGATACCTTGGTGTAGTTAAGATGAGTATCTGTTCTGTGCTTTCCATGTGGGTGGCTCCATTGATTTTGGACACACATGAAAAGCATTAAATGTTTTCACACATTAGAAGTGTTTGAAGCTTTTGAGAGTTTTAACAAAGCTATTTTTTTTATTCTTCCTCTCCCTCCCCCCAAACATTTGAATCTTTTTGTTCTAATTTTAGGTCAAGATATTGTTTTCAAGTGCCTTGGTGAGAACATTCTCCAGAATGCCTTTGAAGGTTACAATGCGTGCATTTTCGCCTATGGACAGACCGGTAAGCATTAGCAAGGTGGACATTGAAGGAAAGGAGAAAGTTTGTTAGTTTTGAATAAATTAGGAACAGTATCAAACAACACGTCAAGGTAAAAGAAATAAGTCATGATTTAATTATTCATATTTCCCTCAATTTCAAATGCTGGTTTTGATTTCTTATGCATTTTTCACTCCAATAACCAGTGGTGGGATTCAAATTTTTTTACTACCGTTCTGTGGGCCTGGCTTGGTGGGTGTGGCTTGGTGGGCATGGCAGGGGAAAGAAATTGTAAAATCTCCATTCCCTCCCCACCCCACTAACCTGCTTTCCAGCTCCGTTCTCCTGTGCAGGGCAACAAAAGAAGACCCAGCCGATCAACTGGGACTTGGGAGGCAGAGAATAGATGGGGGTGGGGCCAGTCAGAGGTGGTATTTGCTGGTTCTCCAAACTACTCAAAATTTCCGCTACCGGTTCTCCAGAACCAGTCAAAAACTGCTGAACACTACCTCTGCTCCACACCCCACTAACCTGCTTTCCAGCTCCGTTCTCCTGTGCAGGGCAACAAAAGAAGACCCAGCCGATCAACTGGGACTTGGGAGGCAGAGAATAGATGGGGGTGAGGCCAGTCAGAGGTGGTATTTGCTGGTTCTCCAAACTACTCAAAATTTCCGCTACCAGTTCTCCAAACTACTCAAATTTTCCACTACCATTTCTCCACTGGTCAGAACCTGCTGAGTACCACCTCTGGAATGAACTCAAAATCACTCAGCTAGTTTTTGTAGTTGAGCCCAAGGGCAGGGTCAAACACATCATCACTTTGGAGTCTCTATACTCCAATAAGAGACCTAATATCTAGCACCCATCCTTGAAGTGCATTGACTCTTATCTGGTGTCAATTTGCCCTGACTGTTCAGATTATTGTATATAGGTAGCATGAAATAAACTTGTCGTACTTTTGAACTTTACCCTGGTTCCCTGGCTTCTTGCACCTGACAATTTTATGCTATGGGAGGACTAGAACTCACATTCCCCATTTCAAGTCTGCTGCCTTTAAACATTACACCAAATTGGCTCTCATTAGAGGAAAGTATGCAATACCGAAAGCCAATTGAAAAAAATAAACATTTACCAATTTATTTATTTAACAAAATTTTGTAGCTGCACAACTCACACATAGTGAGGACAAATAGGCTGAAAAACAGCTTCTATCCCAGGGCAGTAACTCTATGGAATTCTACTGTATAGTGCAATATGAGACAAATATCAGGGGTTTTCAATTCAATGTATAGAATGTGAAGGATGTATGTTTGTGTTTATTTTCATAGTCATAATGTACACTGAAGATGGTATTTAATTTCATTGTACAAGGTGCAATGACAATAAAGTAAAGTAAACTAAACAGTGTCTTAATATTAGAATGTTTAGAGTTAATGGGAAGGTTTGGGCATGATTGGGTCGGGGTGAAAGGAGGGATTTTGGGAATTGCAGGTAAGTCATAGTCCAACATATTCACTTACCAAACATGAGTCAACCACAGAGCAGTTAACAATCAAAACAAGCAGATTATGTGGGGAATAGACACTCATTTAGATCAGGAGTGGGGAACGATGGCCTTTCTATGACTTGTGGAATTCAACTCCCTGAATTCCTGAGCTGCTTTAGCATGCTCTGCTTTAGATAGACCAATTCAGAATTTAGCTTTTTAGACATATTGAAGAATAATTTAGTTACATTTCCTAAAGCTATTCCCCAACATTCTGTCATAATTTAAAGCAAAGATAGCCAACCTATAGACCCCCAAGGATTCCCCTCCCCAGCCCTTAGTAGATTCCAAAAATTAGCAAGACCAAAATGTTAAGAGTTTGGGAAGGATTTTAAGAACTAAAATAGAATTCTCATTAATAAAACCCATTTTTTTCTGGATCAAATTGATTTACTTCTATGAGGGAGAAGTTAAGGAAGAAAACTATTTATGTGAGTCTCTACAAGACTCCAGGCATCAGTTTTGCTGCTTAACCCCACCTACCAGAAGAAAGGTGAAAATTTGATCTTACCTGTTTGATCTTACCTGTTATTACCAGCCATAACCACTGCAACTTTCAGAGACCAGCTGCAGAAACGTTGTTCACTCTTCCTTAAAATGTTAAATGAATGAAACCAACTATAGGGGCTTATAATTAGGAGCCAGATATTTTACTGATATTTTTAAACAAAAATATTAATGTTGATTGTGCTCCTCAGGGCTCCAGCTTGGTAAAAGTAATGTGAAAGACAGTAAGGGTAAGAGAAATAGAAGTATGAAAGAGGGGAGGAGAAGGGAAAGAAGGATGGAGGTAATTGGGAAAAACAGCTTGTATTTTTGTTTTTCCATTAGTCACTGAAGATATTGGCTACTATTAGGCACAGAATAATAGCAAGAGAATACTTATGGTAGCCATGGATTGAGGACAGAAGTTTCCTATTCTTGACTTTCCTTGATATATTTTCTTTAACTTATATATAGCAAACAAAAGAACTGGAGATCCAGGATAATATTTGTTATGCAGGGATGTAATCTGATATAACCCTTATTTATCCACGGTTTGATTCTTTTCCACAGTAAACATATAAGCATCTCCTCCCAGTGGTATAACTCACCTTGACATAACAGCACAAGGAGATAGTTACTATTTTCCAACTCAGTTTGACAAACCAGTTTTGTATATTTACACATTTTCCCCATGTGATCAGAGAAAACAAGATGTTATAATAATTTATTCATGCAGCTCAGTCCATAAATTTAATTAGACTTAGCTTGATTTATAGAACTATAGCCAATTATTTACACTCTGTAGGGCATGAAATGTCTGCCTATAGTGCTGTAATATTTGTAAAGGAACTCTTTCCCATGAATTTGGAATAATAATTTTGCTTCATCTTTTCATCACTAATAATGGAAGAGTTACCTAAATCTGCTTGCAGATTTATTTATAAAGATCCTCAGTAAGACTTCACGGGCTTTCCCATCATTTTTAATTTCTTTTAAAAATGTTTTCTTTCTCCTTTATGCAGGATCTGGAAAATCCTACACAATGATGGGCACAGCTGATGAACCTGGATTAATACCTCGGCTCTGTAGCAGTCTCTTTGAAAGAGCCCAGCAAGAGGAGAGCGAAGAGCAGAGTTTTAAGGTGGAAGTATCCTACATGGAGATTTATAATGAGAAAGTCAGAGATCTCCTGGACCCAAAGGGGTAAGGAAGGTTTTTGGGGAACACCAAGATTGCAGGCAACCCAGTAATCATTTGATAGGAGTGGAAGTCTTCTTTTGCATTCCTCAAAAGTCAACATGCGTTCCGCAAGAACAAAACCAGTAATTTTTGTTTCTGGGAGTGGACCTTCTCTCAGTAATTAAATATATGCTTTGCATGCAGAAAGAGCTAGGTTTCATCCTAAGCCTCCCTATATAGGTTGGGAAAACAATAGCATTTAGACTTATATACCACTTCACAGTGCTTTGGGAGTCTTAGTGGCGCAGTGGCTAGAGTGCAGTACTGCGAGCTACTCCTAGTGCAATTTGACAGATCAAATCCCACCAGGCTCAAGGTCGACTCAGCCTTCCATCCTTCCGAGGTGGGTAAAATGAGGACCCAGATTGTTGGGGGCAATATGCTAACTCTGTAAACCGCTTTGAAAGGGCTGAAAAGCACTATAAAGTGGTATATAAGTCTAAGTGCTATTGCTATTGCTATTTACAGCCCTCTCTAAGAGGTTTACAGGGTCAGCATATTGCCCCCAACAATTTGGGTCCTCATTTTACCGACTGCAGAAGGATGGAAGGCTGAGTCAACCTTGAGCCTGGTGAGCTTCAAACAGCCAAATTTCAGGCAGCCAGCAATCAGTAGAAGTAGCCTGTCATGGCTCATTGGAATTTAAGAGAGCCACTCTCTTTGGCTTCACCACCAGAACTCAACTAGGTGAATCTATACTTTGACCCACTATATGGCAGGGGTCCAAGTCTTCAAGTAGCTCTTTGCCCCCCTCCCAAAAGAATTATTAAAATTTTGCTGAAGTTCTCAATACTGAAATAAGCAGGATTCTAGCATTTTCAGACAAGGTTTACTCAACACTTTTTCTTTACTAATTTACTTTTTTTAAATAAAATTTAATGTACTTGTAAGGATCACTTTTAAAAAATAGTGTTGATAATTTTTGCTGCCGATTCTAGGTGTAAAGGATTTCTTGTATTTCCTAGAATTTGTGGTCCAACTGGGATGTCCATGATAAGGTTCTCCCATACTTTCTTTAAAAAGTTAATGGTAGATGGAACCCAGACTGAACAGGGGTGAATTGGATCTGCCATCCTGCCCTTCTTCTGTTAACTATACCCAGCAATTGGGGGGAAGGGAGGGAAACTGCTTTATCTTAACTATTTGAGTAGGCTTTTAAATCTCAAAATTATCTCAGGGAAGTTTAAGGTCAAAAATCTGTTAAATGTTTAAATAGTCAGTCCCTGGAGCAATATGTTGACTGCTTTCTTGATAATATGCAAACTGGATAGCCTCTGTCTTTTTTCTTATCTTTGTGTGATAGCATTGTTGTTGTTGAAGATTTCACCTTGAGAAGAGTGAATTAATTGCCCCAAGTTGGACAGTGAAATTGATCATCCAAAAGCATCTTTAAATGCTGGACACAGTCCAATCAAAATCAAAACCTCATTTGAAGTTAAGAAGAAAAGTCTAAGCAAGTGTGAATCAGCATGACTCAGAAGAGCTTCACTGACAATAATGCATGGACAATATTGCCCATTTACATTCTGCAAATGTAATATCTTGTTTTGTGTTTGCTTTCAAACAGGAGCCGTCAATCTTTAAAAGTCAGAGAGCACAGTGTTTACGGACCTTATGTAGATGGTCTTTCAAAACTAGCTGTTGCCAGTTACAAGGTAAAGATATCCATTATATAGGCTTAATAATGTTCAGTGGAATGGTTATTATCACCCAATTATTTATATACCTGTTTTCTATAAGAACATGTGTCCAAAACAACTTACAGTACATTAGAAAATAATAGTGAATCAGTTAAGATGTAGCAACTCTAATCAGCAAGCAAAATCACCAGAAGGAAGGGCCAACTGATTCCCTTCACTAGTGATTTTTCCATAGGAACTCTGGAAGGGAAGTGCAGGGATGAAGTTAGTGGGAGAGAAAAGAAAACCCCATGCTTTCCTCATCTTCTCCGTGGTCTGTTCAGGATTGATGAGAGGGAGTATCATGGTTTCAGTACACTTAAACAGATCTTTGACAGATTTATTTATTTATTTATTTGATTTGTCAATCGCTTACAAGGTAATAGATATAAGTATAAACATGAGTAAGAATACAGGAAATAGGTACGAATAAATGGGGACAATAGGACAGGGACAGTAGGCACAATGGTGCACTTATGCACGCCCCTTGATTGATTGACAGATTGATCTGTCTGGCCTAGTGATCCTTGTGCTTGGTTAATAATGGCTTTCCAAGATTAATGGTAGAAATTACCTGCACATTTTTTTTACAGAAGATACTTTTCCAGTGTTGTAGTTTAAGAGTAAGTTTGAGATTCCCTAAAGGCAAAACTTTAACAATTGAGGTTCAGTATCACCAGAAGCAAAGATAAAGTGTTATTTGAAATATCATTATCTTGTTTTTAATATCTTTGCTGTATCTGCACAACCAATATGTTTCCACCCGCAGTGTCCTTGCACTTATGAACTGCCCTTTAGGAAGCTCTCATCCATGGAATGTTTATAACTCTGAAGCTAATGAGGCATACTAAACATTATTTGCTTGCCCCCATCCTCATTTCTACCATATAAACCCTGTAGGCGTTAAGGCCCTGTAATGCTGCAGAAATCTGCTGTATTATAACTCCCATTGTCTGCAACCAGCATTGCTACAGTTAGTTGATAGTGGAGGATATTTTAGTCTGTTGCATTCTAGTGGAAATCAGAATGAGGAAGGCATCTATAGAACTATAATCTTGAGGATCAGCTCTGATTTCACAACCCAGCTCCTAGTTGACTTGGCTGGCTCAGAAAGTTAAGAAGGGGTGTAGTCGGTTAACATTTGAATGGGACACCATTTGAATGGGAAATATCAGCTGAAAAAACATCTGAGAAGGAGGCAGTGGTAAAACCACTTCCATATTATTGGCAAATAAACTACCTGAAAAAAAGGGGGGGGGGTGGCTCAGTGGTTAAAGACACTGAGCTTGTCAGCTGGAAAGCTTGACAGCCCAGGTTCGAGACCCGAGTGCTGGGCGATGGAGTGAGCTCCCGTTACTTATCCAAGCTCCGCTCATATAGCAGTTTGAAAGCATTCAAATGCAAGTAAATAAATAGGTATCACTTCAGTGAGAAGGTAACAGCATTCTATGCACATGACCATGGAAATGTCTTTGGACAACATTGGCTCCCTCATCTAAGAAACAGAGATAAGACCATCCCCTACAGTTGGAAATGATGGACAGGGAAATATTTATCTTTAAATTACCTGGATGCTTTCATGAAGTCATCGGGAGATTTTTATCTTTGCCTTTAAAGAAAGAAGAGAAAGATCTTGTAAAACTGGTTTAGCAAGTAATTATGGTAGGCTTGTTTGCAGAACTTTAGCAATAGCCTTAAGTGTTGGAGAATGTTTGCACTTCAACAGTCTAACTTGGGACTCACCAAAAACCAAATAAAAAACACAAGGAAATATGTATGAATCATGACTCCTGTTCAGCACTTGTGCTCTGTTGCAGACCAAAAGCCCTTCCCCCAACTTCAGTGTAAGTTTAAGATAAATTTGCACGAAGTATTTAGATTAAATTGTTCTCTTTGTAACTTAGAATTTGAATACTGATTTGTTTTGCTACTGTACATAAAATGTAAATTTTATTGGTTGACTTTTGCAGCAAACATAATGCAGGCATCTAATAAAATCATCCAGTTGAAAACGACCTGTAAGGTCATTTAATGGGTGCCTTTGGTACTCTACACTCCAGAGATCTCTGTTTAAAAGCCTTCAGTGCAGGAGAGTCCATCACTTTCTAAAGTTATCTGTCTTGGTTTTTCTCAACTCACCTTGCAACAGAGTAATAATAATGCTAATCTACTATATAAAGCTGTTGTGAGATTTAATAAATGACTATATGTTAAGCATGCATCTGTGCACATGCATACATCATGTGTTACCTTTATTACACTTCCCCAGTTTCAGCAAAAGAATTTCTCTTATTCAAATAAGGACATTAAATGTGCTGAATATAAGCAAGACCAAAATAGTTCAGGTGCAATACTTACATTTTAGCTGAAAAAGTAATAAGTTCTAATGAAAATGCTAAGCAAAATTGTAACCAGGGATCATCAGCCTTACTCCTAGAGGTCTCTAAACGATTTTGGAACATATTGAAATGCTCAATGAGAGGAGAAAATGTCTTTGACTAAATGTCTATTATTGACTATTATTAAGTGTTGTACCTTATGATTCTTGACGGATGTATCTTTTCTTTTATGTACACTGAGAGCATATGCACCAATACAAATTTCTTGTGTGTCCAATCACTCTTGGCCAATAAAGAATTCTAACTATGTCTATGGAGATTCTCAGCCATCCAGGTCATGGTTGTCCCAAACGTGTTTTTTCAAGAGGCAATTGGACATTGTTTTTCCTTGAAGATGTTTCACTTCTCAGCCAAGAAGCTTCTTCAGTTCTGATTGATTGGTGGGGAATGGAAGGATTTATATTCCCTTGCTGTCATCTGTTAATAGACACAGATAAACCTCCAAGTGGCCTCAACAACTCTCAAAAAGAGTGCTAATGACCAGATGACTGCAAGGAATTCAAATCCTTCAATTCCCTACCAGTCAGAACTGAAGAAACTTCTTGGATGAGAAGTGAAACGTCTTCAAGGAAAAAGAAAGTCCAGTTGCCTCTTGAAAAAGCACCTTTGGGAGGTCTTAGACTAGATGATTTCTAAGATTTCTTTTAACTCTGTGATTCCAGATGAGAGTGCTTTTCTACTGAACCAGCACCACGCTGATTAGAGATATGTGTGGCTAGAGATTCCATGTCACAGAACATGAGGTCTCCAATGTTGTTTGAACTTTATTTTACTAATCTTTATTTTACAAATCCAATACCACCCAAAATGTAAAGTACCAAAATCCTTTGGAAAAATATTAGAATTTATTGGTAGAACCTATAGCTCATAGCAACAGCCTGATGACCGAAGATAACTAAAATGTTTTCTTTGCTGTCAAGTAATGCTTTAATTATCCAGACATTTTGGTAAAACAGAAGCAGCGTGTTATTTCTCTGATCTGTGCAGATAGCATTTAGGGTAAACCAGGGAAAATGTATTACAAAACCATGGTTTATGTGGAGCAATAAGATCTTGTTATACTCACTGAACATAGCATTCTCTAACCTCTTGACAAAACCAAGACTTCAGTGATTGGGACAAGGCGTGACATTAAGCTGTAGTTTGTTTCAATTATGATTTGTTAAATGAGCCACATGGCTTAGTTCAGATCTCAAGTTATGCATGAACTTCACTAAAACACAATATGTTTTGTGATTCTTTTATTTAGGACATAGAGTCTTTGATGTCTGAAGGCAATAAATCTCGTACAGTTGCTGCAACAAACATGAATGAAGAGAGTAGTCGATCCCATGCTGTTTTCAAAATTATCCTCACACACATATTGTATGATGTAAAATCAGGGGTGAGTTCTGCAATTTGCAGTGCAGATAAATAACAGAGATCTGTTAAAAAAAAGGGAAAAAAAGGAGTTTTGTAAATATAAAAACAAATACTTTTGCCAGAATTTTACTCTTGTTTTACTTGCTTCTAGAATAGATCTTTGTTACCCTAGGCAAGACTGGGGAACCTGCAGTCCTCAGATGTTCTTGTAATCTTATTAGCTCTAGCATTTTGGTCTAAGACAAGGATGTCAAACTCAAGGCCTGTGGACTTGCAGTGCTTCTGCTAGCGAAAACAGAGCTCACGGGGACCACACATGCCCCCTCACAGCTCCGTTTTCACTAGCAGAGGGCTGCAGGAGGCCGTCACAGCCGAAAACAGAGCTCGGTAGCCCATTTTCACTGGCAGAGCTCTTGGGCCACCACAGATGCCCCCCTAACACAAGTCACATCATGCTAGCCATGCCCACCCCGGCCCCACGAGGTCAAACACAACCCTGATGTGGCCCTCAAGGAAATCAAGTTTGACACCCTTGGTCTAAAGTCAGAGATGATGGGATTCCTGAAGATCACAGATCCCCAACCTCATCATGAGAGGTAGCACAGCCTTTCTAAGAACAACAGTACTATTTACTTAAAACCAAGACTTTTAAAAATGGTGTGGGATATGTTTTTAGGTTGCAATCTCAGATCTTATAATGTTAGGGACAGTTGCTTTTCTCTACAGTTTGTTTGGGATCTGAATCAGGGGAACATTATTTATGTATGAAAAGTGATTATTCTGGGGGTTTCAATGTTATCCAAACATCTCTAACAACCTTTGGTTGTTTGGGGCTCACAGATAATAGATAATATATCCCTTGTTTTAGCCACACTACTAAGGACGTTTCCATTTTAAAAAGCACTTTACATCCCAAAACCCAACTGATTAAAGGAAGAGCATTTTTTTTTGAGGGGGTGGGGTAGGTGATACCATACTTCTCCACATATTTTGGAAACACCTGCATTGAATTTGAGAAACTTCTTATATTTTTCAGATTTCTTTTATCTTTGTTCAAGTAGGCTAAAATATAATATATGAACTACGTAAACCAATTTCTACGCAGTCTGAAAATCCCTTGTGAACCTAAGGCTGTATAGAGGTCTTCTGCTCTCACTTTATATGCCTGTATCCCTGAGTGATGGAATGATTCCATATAAGCCAGAGTTCCCCAACCTTTCCAGATTTGTGGACTGGTAGGGAGGGGGAGAGGAAACAGTTCCGCACAAGCGACGGAAATGCACGCTTGCTGCTTACGCAAATAAAGCATGCACGCACATGCTGATCTGCCTGCTCGTGCATGCGCTCGCCCGCTGCTTCTGTAAGTGGATATGTGTGCGTGCATGCTCACCCACCATTTCCACGGCCTGGTTCCGAATAGCTCAAGGCCCAGTAGTAAGCCGTGGCTCGGGAGTTGGGGACCGCTGGTATAAGCAAAAATCTGCACATATTATTGTCTGAACAATCCTAGTGAAATCCTGTGCCTTTTCTCATTAATTATATTGGTTATTTGATACTTGGAAAATTAAAACTCACCAACATGCAAGTTTGACTTAAAATATTCAGTTCTCTAGTCCTCATTCTGAAATAAAATAAACTTTATTATTTTATTAGAGGAGGGGGATTTATCTTTTATTACCTTTGCTTTTAATCTCTCTTATCCCTTTGTTTTCCCCCTCCAGTAAAATCTGGATTGGCTTTGGTCACATTCATTTGTGCTAGATGTTAACTTCTGGCCTGGTGATTAGGGGAGATGTAACTTATGTAGAAGGCATGAGAGATTTCTCTATAAACTCTTTTGAATAGGCACATTTGTTATACAATAAATTATTTATGATAGCATTACACAGTCAGTACTTAACGATCTCTTTAGCATCAAGATCTTTTTCCTTGTCATTTTCCCTTTTTCCTTTCTTTTCCCACAAACTGAGAAAAAGTATGAAGGGTATTTTGGGGTGCTGGGGAAGTGATATGTTATTGAGTTAATTCTATTTTCATTCGGCAGACCTCTGGTGAGAAAGTAGGCAAGTTGAGCCTGGTTGACCTGGCAGGCAGTGAAAGAGCAACCAAGACAGGAGCTGCAGGCGACAGGTTGAAGGAAGGAAGCAACATCAACAAGTAAAGTTTACCTTTTAAAGGAACTAAATGTTTTTAAAGGGAGGGTGAAGGCAAAAGTAAATATGTCCTAATGTTCTTTACATATTCAGAACAAGAAGAGAAAAGAAAGAAACAGAGTTCTCCTTTGACTTTTCCCTCCAACTTTTCTTTAGAAGAAACAGGACTTCCTTCTTCTCTTCTCTGAGACCTCAGAAATGATTAGATTAGAAACAAGAGAAAAATTAAGAATGATTTTTTTCAGGGTTTTGTTTATATATTAGTTAATGCTTAGGCGATTTTACCCTAAAAGCAAAATGCAAGGACCAGCTATTCTTAACCATATATCTGATTCTAGTCACCATATAATTGCAGAATCTTTTTCTCCCCTATACAGATCTCTCACAACTCTTGGGTTGGTCATTTCAGCCCTGGCAGATCAAGCTGCTGGAAAAAATAAGAACAAGTTTGTTCCTTATCGTGACTCAGTGCTCACCTGGCTGCTCAAAGTAAGTGAGCCATTATTAAGGAGGTCAAGCAAGACAACACTTTCTGTTTCGGGTCTATTTGGAAGGGACGCCTGCTGAACATAATAGATTGCAGCTGCTGATTTCAGTAGAAAACCACAGTAGCTCTGTGAATAATTCTCCTCAGGAAGCTCTCAAGCTCTCTTCTTTCTCCAGAATTTCCTAGCTTTCTGAGAGAGTTGGATCCCCTTAGGTGGCTCCTCACTCAGACTTGTTCCTAATCAATAGTACACTCTCTTAGTCAATTTACTGGCAGCTGCTTCCACAGTTTTTCTATCATAAAAGCTTTACCATGGCTAGCCCACTGGCTAACATCAGAGATGTTGCTTTCAGTTGTTAGCCATTTGATGTCCATCGAATATGAGTGTGGACTGCAACAAACATATCAGTTGTAGCTCAAGAGAAAGGTCAAAGGAGGTCAATCTCCTGCGAATTGAAAGAGTCACAGAATTGACTGTGCGCTGTTAAAAAAAAAAAAACCTGGCTTGATGATTACAGAAGAATGCAACTAGTTTGGAAGAACTTCAAACAGGAACAAAATGTTGGCAGGAGTTCAGTGACACAGTCTTATTGCTAAATTTTGTTGCTACCTGTAAAATAAAATAAAATATAGTCCTGCAAATATTCAGAGACATTATACTGTATATATCCAAATCTGTCAATGCCAATGAGGATTTTTTAATTCCACTTTTTATAGCAATATGTGGTTTTCCAGAGCTGGGAGGGGAAAAAAAACAACCAGCAAACACTTGTTCTTCTTGAACACTTTTGGGAAGTCTTTATGGATATTACGCTAATAAACTCAATGGATCCCCTGCTGGTGACTTCTTATAAGCAAGTTCTCGACTGGTATTCAAACATGTAAAGCCTTTGAGTATACAGTTAACAGTTCCTTTTTGGTTATTATGGCTAAATCCTGTTGCTAGCCCGCCTCCTCGGTAATGTTTATCTTACCTCTGAAAAAAACTGTTTCTATATTTCCTACAATGAACTCCATAAATTCCTCTTTCAATAATAACTGTAGTACAGATAGTCTTCGGCTTATGACCACAATGGAGCCCAAACTTTCTGTTGCTAAGTGAAACATTTGTTAAGTGAATTTTGATGCATTTAACCACTTTTCTTGCCACGGTGGTTAAGTGAATCCCTGCAATTGTTACGTTAATATTATTGGTTGTTAAGTGAACCTGGCTTCCCCAGTGATTTTGCTTGTAAGAAGGTTGGACAAGGTGATCACGTGACCCCAGGACACTGCAATTGTCGTAAATGTTAGTTGTCAAGAGTCCAGAGTTTGATCATATGACCATGGGCGTGCTGCAATGGTTGTAAGTGTGAAAAATGGTCATAAGTCACTTTTATCAGTGCTGTTGTAATTTTGAATGGTCAGTAAATGAACTGTTTCAAGTCAAGGGCTATGTTTGTTCTTCTGCATCCTGAATTTGTCACTAATTTCATTTGGTGTGTGCTAGAATTATGTGAAAGCTTTCTTTCACTACTACATTCAAATTTTGGAAGGCAAATTGTTTTCCCCCCCTTTTTAAAAAATCTCAATTACCAAAAGGTGGAAGTTTTAAGTCTAAATATGTCCTTCATGCATTGGGTAAGATGGGCAGCTATGCAAATGTGATGAAATAAAAAGGCTTTGGAGAGTTCTTCCAATTTTCCAATTATTTAGCCTTCCTTCATAATTTTAATCTTTATGAATATTATGCATTATTTTAATTGCTCTTTTCTGTACCATCTGTAGCTTAACATCAGGATGCTCATCTTTTGAGGGGAGGAATGGGGGGCAGGAATCACACACACCAAAATTGACAATTCCAGAACAAAGGAGCAAGTGGGGACAGAATACATTTCAACACAATTAAATTTGGATTATATTATAGTAATCACATATCTGTAATTATATACATGAATTATGTTAATATTATTTCTCATGTATTTAATAATTGCTATCTCTATGGTATTAAACATTGCAATTTGTTGGCAACATTTCGAGTGACAACTTTTGTGAAGCTAAAAGGTTGTGCCAATTCTAACACTTGAAACTCAGAAACAGTGTTTTAAAATCCTCTTGTCCCCTTTCCTACACACATAGATTATGCTTTTTTTCAATCTAACAGTATGAAGTGATATTTTCAGAGATTTTACATTAGGAAGTAAGCAGGATATGAAGTGGCTTGACTTCCGTTCCTGCCAAGACAATTCCATACAGTAAGCATAGAAAAGAATCTATTTCTCATTTAATAGATTTATATCACTAAAAGAAGAAAATATGCTCTTTCTTCCTCATTAGCACTACTAGACAAATCCATAACTGGATATGGAGAGACTTCGTTCTTCTGTTAAATATCTTGGATAGGGGTGGAGATACCATATCGTCTATGTTTCATCCACTGGGGAAAGGAAACTCAAGAGCAGCATAAATTATAAATGAGAATTCTCATTAAAAAATAATGACAATATGTATAAAAATTAAACATCTTTTAAAAAGGCAAAAGGCTTGAAAATGTATATGATAAAGTGGTTACAAAACAATTCATCAAAATCTTTTTCCTTACCCTTCTGTTGCGAAAAAACCCCTCTCCTAAGTCAAACATTGGCAAAAAAACATATAAAAGGAAAATAAGTAGAAAAATGTGCAGGAGGACTCTATAGTTCTTAATATGGTAATACATTCCAAATAGGGGCAGATAGCCCAGAGTATTATCAGAGTATAGCAGCAAAAGGTTGACAAATTTGTGGATTTCAGACCCAAATAAGGTGGTAGAAAACAAACCTATAGGATAATGTTCTATGTTACATTTCTAACACCAAGGCAACTGCAGATAGTCCTTACTTTAGTTGTCAAGTATACACAAAACAAAATACTAAACTTATTTTAAGATCAAGAAAGACTCCTTTCGTTTTTTTAAAGCAACCTTCACTGCTGAACAGCATATTCAAGCTTATTATTCCAAGGCTCTCTAAATAACTAACCTCAAATTCATCAACTTTCTTTCACTTAAAAAAAAAACTGAATTACTTCTTTAGGAGCCACAATTAATTCTTCCCCAGGTTACAAATATGAATTTCAGGAGCAACAACAGCATTACAGAGAAAAAAAGACCCAAATAACTGTCAGAACTCAATAAAATGCCAGTGTACACTGTGTGAGATAAATGAAACTCGGTTTTAGTTTCAGTAAGGTTTGGAAATTTCTTCACTGAAGGCAGCTAACAATATTATGGGAGGTCTTGTATAAAGACATTAAGACAAACGGGTTTTGCTTAAGTGAGATTGCTGCATTGCGTACCTCTGTGTCATACAGACGGAGTTGGGAGAAGCAGAGATAATTGCTTTCAGGCATTGATTCAGTGACTTGCCTTTTCTTTCTCCTTTCTTTTTGCTTGTTCCAAGCTCTAGGTGGTGAAAAGGGTCCCTTGCCCACTTTTAAATGGCCTTTTCACCCAGTCTACCCTGTAGCTGAAGTTTGGCCTTAGAAGTCAAATACATAAGAATTAAATTTTCTAAGGAAATGCAAGGCTTTTGTAGATATGCAAATGGAGAGAGGGAGATATCCCAATCATCTCTTTATGCAGCAGAAACTGGCATAGCCTGAGAATAGGTCTATTCCATCTAAGACTCTACTGCAGCTCAGTCCAGGTGAAGGAAGAACAGATCAGATTGGTTGTCTATGGAAATTCTCAGTCATTTAGGTCATGGTTGTCCCAAAGGTGCTTTTTTTCAAGAGGCAACAGGAATTTCTGGTTTTTCTTTGAAGACGTTTTGCTTCTCATCCAAAGAAACGTCTTCAGCTCTGACTGGATGGTGGGAATTGGAAGGAGTCTAAAAGAGTATAAATCCTCCATCCAAGAAGTTTCTTGGGTGAGAAGTGAAACGTTTTCAAAGAAAAATTAGAAAGTACAGTTGCCTCTTGAAAAAAGTACCTTTGGGAGATCAGACTGGTGTACAATATGAATACCTTATTCAGTAATTTTACGGTTACATGCCATTAAATTGACATTGACTGTAATTGACTACATAGAATTTCTCCAGGATGATGTATCCAGAAGTTGGTCTTTCAGTTCTTCCAATGGTGCAGCTATTCCAGATATGAGTCTATCCATTTTGCTGCTAGTCAGTCTCTTCTTTTTCCTTCCACCTTTCCCAGCATTAGAGCCTTCTCCAGGAGAGCTACATCTTTGCATAATGTGTCCAAAGCACAGGAAGTCCTTGACTTATGACCACAATTGAGCCCAAAATTTATGTTGTTAACTGTGACATTTATGAAGTGAGTTTTGTCCCATTTTACAACATTGCTTGCCACAGTTGTTAAGTGAATCATTACTAACTTGGTAAGTTAGTAACCCCGTTATTAAGTGAATCTGGCTTCCCCATTGACTTTGCCGGTCAGGAGGTTGCAAAAGGGGGTTACATGACCTCAGGACAGAACCATTGAGTATGATCCACTTGCCAAGCATCTGAATTTTGATCACATGATCTTGGAGATGCTTCAAAGGTTGTAACTGTGAAAAATAGTCCTAAGCCATTTTTTTCAGTGCTGTTACAACTTTGAATGGTCACTAAATGAACTGTTGTAAGTTGAGGACTACCTGTATAATTTGAGCCCTGTCATTTTTGCTTCTGGGTTGATTTGTTCAGTGATCCTTTTGTTTGTTTTTGACTGTCCATGAGTATTCTCCAACACCAGAATTCAAAAGCTTCAATGGTTTTCCAGTCTTGCCTTTTGAGAATCCAGCTTTCTGTTCCATAGAGTGTCATAGGGTACACTGTTCTGATCTTTGTAAGTCTAAATACATGACAGCATCTGAATAGCTTTTCCAGGGCGTTCAGAGCTGTACCAAGTGCTAGTCTGCAATGTATTTTCTGACTGCTTATTCCTTTTATTGTGGATAATCAATCCTAAAAGTCTAGTTTTGGCAAGAGACTCGCAGAAACAAGTTAGTTATATTAGAAGCTTTATTGGAAAGAAGAACGAATTTTTAAACACAACAGCTGATTGATCCACCACAGTGTAATGAAGTCCCTTTATGTCAGCCTGTACACTGGAATTTAAACTAGGGTTTTTTTTTCCTTCCAGCCCGTGAGATTTTAGGGAGGCTGAGAAAATGAATGGAAAGGACAGTAGATAATCAGCAGTGAAGAGACAGAAGGCAAACTCATTGACCACTTACCTTACAAATGTTTCCGTTTAAGAGGAAAGAAACTTGTGAAGAAGCTTCATTCCAAGAGATACACTCCCCTCCACTAACATGAACTCATTATAAGCAGGGCCTAGAAGATTCTCTTTACTTCCAGAATTCTGAATTTCCCTCAGACTAGCATTTAAACATCTTAGCTCTGCAATTCTTGCTTCCTTGAAAGTCCCCAAATGACTGAAGTTTGACACCACCTTTCCAAGTTAATAATCCTCAGCCAGTCTCTTGATGGCCTTGAGAGGCAGACAATAAATGCTTACATTACAGTAGTATTTTCCAGCTTGAGATGGTTCCTATTGTGTCAGTGTTATTTCCTGTATAATTTTTTTTTGCAGGTAAAGATCATGTTCCGTAAGCTTCTGTTGTGAGAAGGGGAATACAGGCACTCAATATCTTGTCCCTTATAATAAAAAAGCAGCTTCTGTAAAGAGAGTGATATTGAGGTGGGAAACAGTGCTGGTAGAATAGATAGAATAGAATACTTTATTGGCCAAGTGTGATTAAATTCCATTGCCCTTTCTTGCTTTTCTGTTTCCTCCATTCAGAGTCACAACCTTTCAAGTTGTTATCGAGTGTATTATGGTCTCAGGCAAAAGGAGCATTGAATTCTGTGCTCAAGTGCTTGGAGGTTTCAGCAACTGTTGTCCCTGTGCTGAATAAAAGGCTGGGAATGTGGAGTTCCTTGGCTTGGCTGAAAAAGCACTGGGATGGGACAGCGAAAGAACCCAATCTAGGCTCAAAGCTGGCAGCATCTGGCATAACGTTTGAAATCTAAACAAATATGATGAGTTATTTCTAGCAATTATAAAGCAAGAAGGGGAGGGGGAGTTATCATTTCTGTTGCTTTCCGCCAGGATGTTTATAGCCAGTGCATGGCTATTTTGATTTAATCATCTTGTATAGTTATTCACCTCTGTATCTGCTTTAAAAGTCTAATTTCTGTTGATTTTAAAAGAGACATTGCATGCAACTTTGGTGGTGGAGCTTAGATGTTACATTTCTCCCCTCCTTCCTTGAGTTTTCATTTAGAATTAGTGCCCACAGTGTATCTTCAAGGAAGCTTCTGTCCACAATAAAAGTAATCATCGGCTAAGCCTTATTATGGAGAAATCTCTATTATTATCACAAGGTCAGCCGTAGAAAAAGTAGGAAGGCATTTTATTCCCACCTAAGGAAGATGAGTAAAATGCTTGTGAAAAGGCTTGAATACCCTACTACATTTTTATATATAATTTCTATACTTTTAAGCCTAATTAACATTGAACATTAAGTACTAGAAACTAACAACAATCATGTTTTTTAATCAGTGACCCATCTCAGCCTTTTGGATTTATAACATTAAGGAAGGTACCATAAAAGTTACCTTATACGGATGACTGGTTCTAGCTCAGATTTCAAAGAGCAATAATTCCAATACATCTAGATGATACTAGGCTTTTAAGGGCTGTCTTCATATATTCTGGGTCCAGGCCATTTTAAGCACTCATAGTCAAAGCATTGGTTACTTATTTAGAGATGTGTGCAGGTTGTTTATCCTTTATTTGTTTAGCAGAAGCTGTCAATGCCATTTACTTAAGAGAAATAGTTCTCTTTTGCTCCTAGTGTATTATTTCTTGTGGCACAGCTGATGTAGCAAAGAGGATTTTATTGTTGCTTGACCCAATCATTGCTTTCTCTGCCTTAGCACTTCCCTTTCCCCATAATCTGCTGATGAGAACTAATATGTCCTTCATATATTTGGTTGGTTTAGACCAGGGGTCTCCAACGTTGACAACTTTGCTGGCTGGAGAATTCTGGAAGTTGAAGTTCACCAGGCTTAAAGTTGCCAACATTGGAGACCCCTGGTTTAGACAATGTCTTTGAAGGGCTTTATAAATTTGGAATATGCTATATATTATTGCTACTGCTGCAGATTGTGTTTTGAACAGTATCTAGAGCTATGGTGGCGCAGTGGTTAACATGCAGTACTGCAGGCTACTTCTGTTGATTGCCGGCTGCCGGCAGTTTAGCAGTTCAGGTCTCACCGGCTCAGGGTTGATTCAGCCTGCCATCTTTCTGAGGTCGGTAAAATGAGGACCCAGATTGTTGCGGGCAATATGCTGACTCTATAAACTGCTTAGAGAGGGCTTTAAAGTACTGTGAAGCAGTATTTGGGACTAAGTGGTATTGCTATCTAGCCTTTTGTCTTAGTGTTTAGAACATTATGCATTATAATAATCTTCATGTATCTCCACCCTCGGGCAGAGAAAGGTGATGGTTACTTAGCACAGATTTAAAGCTTAGTTTCCCCACATCTAAAGCAAATGCACAAGAAATTATGCTGAACTTTAACTAGGCTAGTTATGAAAGCTTAAATTCACCAGAATAATTAGGAATGTCTCAGAAAGATTTGTGAATATGACGCCCAGTAGCTGTGCACACCTACATTTTATAGGCAACTAAAATCAGCCTCATACAACCTAATGACTTCTAGATGTCTGAGATTGTATTTCCCATCTTCCCTAACCACTAGGAATGCTAACTGGGGTCTTAATGGAACCGTAATGCAGCAGAGGCAGGTGTCAGGTTTCCAAGTGATGAAATCCATTTTAAAAAAAAGAACAAAGTCCATATTCCAAAACAATTTCTTTTACTTAGGAAAGCATCAAATTGGCAAAGTCTGTTGTAGATCTGTTACATATCTGACACAACCTGGAATTACACCACATAATATTGGAAGTTAGAAACAGTCCCCAAAAGTCACATTCTCCAATAGAAGTAAATCAACGTTGCCTGGTGTCATAAATCTCTACCTCAAGGCCTTAGCAGGGTCAGCTCGTGTTCCCACAGGAAGAAGAACCACCTAGTCTAAACGACTCTCTCTATGTCCACTCCTCCCACCTTAGGAATGTGACAAGCCTGAAACCCTTCTCCCCATAACCAGCAGAAAGAAATAAAATGAATATATAATAAGGCTAAATAAAATGGCTATGCATATGTCAATTTCGGGCTTGACAGCAGGTTGTGTAGGCTGCCTGGTTGTGTGAGGCCAATATAAAGTGTGTGTGTGTGTGTGTGTGTTGTGTATGTGTGTGTACTACTTATTGTCTGCATTTTGTATGAGTTATAGTACTGTCTATCTCCCAGAAATATCGTCAGTAGATATTTTCTTGTCAGAGGGATTAGAGGCAGGTGGTATGGCGTCTGCTTTGCTCAAAGTATAATCAGTCCCTTGTCATGGATAGGTTACTCCTTGTTAATCTTGGAGATGGGTAGCCTTATAAATTCTTTAAATCAAGCAATCAAAACGCCTCAAATTCTTACTCTCTGATTTCACATTCCCAGGATAGCCTTGGTGGCAATAGTAAGACTGCAATGGTTGCTACTGTCAGTCCAGCGGCAGATAATTACGATGAGATACTTTCTACCTTGAGGTATGCAGACCGAGCCAAGAACATTGTGAACCATGCTGTGGTCAATGAAGATCCCAATGCCCGAATCATCCGGGAACTGAGGGAGGAAGTAGAAAAACTCAGGGAACAGCTTACCAAAGCAGAGGTAAGTCTTCTTTCAC